GCTCCTGAGCCTTGTATAGGATAAACCTAACTGTAAAAAAAAAATGAAAAAAGATAGGTGACCACTATGTGCTGTAAACTTTAATGTGGGGGTGGCTTTATGGATAATGGCTTGGAATTGTTAATTGAAGGATTGAGTTCCAATTATCATTGAGTTCGTTATATTCACTTACATTTGGGAAAGATATGTATCCACATCTAATCCCAGCTAATGGTTAATTAATAAAACTTTTATAAGTGAACCATTATTACCCTCCAAAAATAAAATTCTTACAATCTAAAAATAACCTGCAATGGGTTTATGTAGAAAACATAATCATAAGACAACATTTTGGCTGTTGTGCCCACTTCTGTTTGTCGATCCAGGCAAATGGGGGTAGATTGTTCTGCTGTTTATGTCTAGGGGAGATAACTCATCTTGTTCTTTTTTTAGTTCTGTTGCTCACCATAATTTCCCCTGATAATAAGTCTGTAATATCTAGCGCTGGGATTGAACTCACAATTACTAAAATTGACAAACCAATGATTTTAACTCACTAGAACTTGGAACGTTAAATCTTATATTCTTCTGTCCTACCTGCTGCTACTGCTGTCACACTTGACTGCATTCACTGCGTCTCCTCTTTTCTGCTGCTGTTGAAAACTTGCTGTAATTTCTCTTTCTTTATTAATGACTTCCATATGGTATTTCTATGCTAGGCCTACTGAGGAGGCTCAACATAGCCTATCATATGCACTAATTCCTTCAGACATCTGACTCTCAAGTGTCTAGTATTTTTACTCCATTTTACAAGAATTAGTGACTATTCTTTTCCCTCCATACAGAGACAATGTAATCAGCCATGCCTGATTTAATTTTCTCACGTCTAATTACTTTTCGATGTTCCTCTTGCTATACTTACTTGCTATATAATCAGTCTTCTATTTGAATGTGTACATATGTATTTCTCCATCTGTAAACTCAAGAATAGTTTGACAGATATTACATCCAAAATAAATGCTTGGAAATATTTCAGTATTACTACTTTTTCTTAAAATTTTGATGTTTGGTGCCTGCATTTCTGCTATGCTGAGAAGATTTTACAAGTAAATTAAAAAACCTTTATTAGATTGGTCTTAACCTGGCATCCCGGCTTCAGTCCCTTTCCCACCGCTGTATTGTAGCTTCCCTCTACCTTTTCTATAAATATTTTCATGGTAATTGTTATGATGAACTTTCCAGCCAACTTTGATCTTCAGATATTTAAATGCAATGTCAATCTGTCTTTTTTTTTCCTCTTCTTTTATTGTTCTTGCTCCTTAATAATGTTCCTCTTTCTTTCTTATTCTTTCACACTCAGTAACCTCTTGTGTCTTAGGGCTTTATTGCTTTGCTCGGGATTAAAGGATTAAAAAAAGAAATAAGTTGTCTTTCTTATTTAGTAAGGATGGAAATGAGTTGGAATAAACAAACTCCTGGTACTTACTCCTGCATTTCAATTCTGTGTTTGTAAAATCTTATATATTATTTTAACATCCCCAGAAAGAAATGAATTAGTTAGACTAATGAAGAAGTTTCCACAGGAAAAGTTTCTTTTCTTTTTTATGTTAAAGTTCATTCAATACAAGGCTCAAGATCCACTCAAGGTCGAGGCTACTGTTGAGTTGCGAAATATAAATAAAAGAGGTCATAGGAAGTGAAGATTATAATAATGAGTATAGATAACAACTTACTCTTGACTTGAAAAGGTTATGATTGTAATGTTCAAGGGAGCACCCACTTAAAAGTTTGGTCCACAAAGAAACAATTCTTAAGAGAAAAGCTGTCTGAGTGGAAGATTCTTTCTGCATTTGAAATAGGACAGAATTGAGGGTGACTAAACTTCATGGAAAGAGCTGGGCATATCCTAGCATTAAAGGCCTGAATTAGTGTAACTAAACAATGAGTGGTTTCAAATAAGAAATAAAAAAATATTTCATTATTTTTATTTCTTTATTTTAATAAAATTGTTTATCTGTTACTTGTTTTCAAGAACTGTCTTAATCTTTCTCTGGGATTAATAGAACTGGAATATAATGAAAAATACTTGAACATGAGAAATTACTATTTTGGGGTTTTTTTTACACTTATATTCTGCCATATCAGGATGACTGACAATGGAACTAATTATAGAAAAATGTGCATAAAATTTGCATAAAATAGTACATGCAGTCAGTTGTCAAACTAGTTGCAGGAATTAAAGAAATCATTTCTAGCCTCAAAGCAGAGATTAAAGCACTAGACAAAATGTCTTCCATGTTACCACTTTGCACAGATGTTAACCTTTAACCAGTACCCCAGTTATTTATAATTCTACACGTTAGATATTCAATAAGTTTTTTATATGAAAAAACAGAATCTCTACAGAAATGAACCTCTCCAAGAATAAACATTTAAAAAAAAAATTTTTTTCATCTTATTTTCCAAATAAGCACTCTAGATCATATAAAGAGCAGGGTTTTCAGCAGAAATTCATTGTAAATTGATCCCTTCATATTCAACCTTTCCACCCACTGCCCAATATATGCTCATGTTATGTGATAAAGCATAATCTTATTATCCTGTCAAAATTTCAAATAATTTCAAGTTTCAAGTTAAAATAAAAAAAAGTTAATATTTGTTATAGGATCTTACCAATAATAATAATAATAATAATAATAATAATGGACTATTCCATACTTAATAAATACTGCACCACAGGAGTAGGCAAGGACTCAGTCGTTCAAGTTTTGACTGGCTGATCAGTTGAACTCTCTGCCTTCGGGTGGGAAGGAACCCGAAGGCAGATACACCGAAGGGCGGATTCTCTTTGAGGGAGGTAAACCGACCCTGAACTCGTTTATATGGGTTCAATGGGCATATTTTTGGCCAAGACCATGGGCTCGGAGATCCCACGTTAAACCAGCCTTGTGCCACATGACACCCTCGTGGGGTGGGGGTGACTAAATATCGTCAGTAGTTCAAGTCGAGTCAGTAGTTCAAGTCGAGTCGAGTCAGAGGCAGTCCGAAACAGAGTCGTGTTCAGACAATTACTGCAAGACATTGGAATAGTGATACTGGTCGAGACTACATTGTTCTCTCTACTAAACCTGATCGCTCATACTAACACTTCTACTTTTCTGTATATATTCCTGTTTGTAATATATCTGTGTTATTCCATGCCTGTGTTCGCATTCTTCTTTATTGGTTCTACTTTGGACTATCACCATAGTACAAGGAACCGGACCATAACAATATTCATATTATTTAAAATGCATTTTTACTTCATTTTTTCCTGCATTGTCTTAAAATAATTCTTATATAGAAAATTTTAGATAATTTCAAAATAAATTTAATGCATTTTTTTCACATTTTCCCTTTACTTTTATTATTAACTATGTTACTAATTATTTTTCTTACCTTTTTATTTTTATTCATTTACTTTTTTTTTGGTTTGTTTTATTTCATTCAGTCAAGTTAGGTTAGACATTCATGAGTCTATCGCGCCAAACATCCCAGTCCTGGATCAAGGAGGGAAGGTCATTAGGGTGGCATTCGGTGCCATAACATAGCTGGTCAATGTAGGTGGTAGCTGAGTGACCAACCTATCTTGCTCTATGTCTAAGTGTCTTGTTTTGCTCACCAGCAGTGTCCTGCAAAGCATATTCTGCATTCGCCCAAGATTGTAGAAATTGAGTTGGGATTTAGTTAGATGTTGTCTCCAAGAGATGTTAAGTAAAGCTCCTAGCATCTGAGTGTAGGCTCAATCAAGCTTAGGTTCAGGGGGTTTAGTTAATGTCCAAGTAGTGGTACCATACATTAACACCGCCTCTGCACTGGCTTGAAAGAATCTTCATTTGAAGTTGTCTGGTAGATCAGATCTCCAAATTACATCCATTTTATTCAAGGTAGCCCAAGCTTTAGCTATGCAGATTTTTACATTCTTTTCAGTAGAATTTATTTTTTTCATGTTTCCTAAGTATATAAAAGATTCAACAGATTGTATTGATTTACCATTAGACAGTTTGTTTTAAGCCTTGCTCCTTGAAGCTTATGAATTTAGTTTTAGTGGCATTGACATAGAGTTCAACATTGTTCGTAGCATTTTCTAGACAATGTAGGAGAACTGTGGCATTGGTAGAGAGATCAATTTAAAATGAATTTATATAGCAAAACTTTTGAAGAAATCATTTTCAAATAAGTATAAAATTGATCTGAGGCTTTCAAATAAGAACTTTTGTTTTCAATAGTCTCTCATATGAATCCACTCTTCCCCTTTAAGCTATGACTAAATGAACAGATTAAACTAGATTCATGAGCTTTGGTTGTTAACCATTTGCAGAAAAAGACAACTATGAATTCAGATCTATGGACAAAGCAACAAGAAACCATTATCTTTCCCCAAAACAATCATGGCAATACACAGTTTACATATCTTAAAAGCAAGTAAGCTGTAGAATATTATGAGACATCCAAAAAGCACATGGCATAATAGATAAACAAATAAGTCTTTCACACCTTATTCCCATAACAACAAGCCTATTTATATGCTTATACAATCTGCAACCTCAACAACCAGTATAAATATCAATATGACATGATTTAAGATTTTACAAGTACATTGAGTAACTAGTTGTAGTTGATACTGGCTGACAAAGATTACCCCAAATCTTGAAGCCTGAACTCAAAACAAGCATATTCATAGAGCATAAGGGATTGGAAAACCAATCACTTTAGCAGATATGTCCCAGTATCCACCCTTATGCATGGGTTTGGCAGCTACTAAGTCTGATTGCATATGTGTTAATGGTATCTTTGGATTATTTTGAAAACATAAATTTGGGTCAGATAGGAGGCTGGAATTTGTTTCTGTCTGGGGACATCGAAAGACTTCTCCAAGGATAAAAGAGGCAAATAAATATTTACTCAGATGCAAAATTTGTCAATTTACATACATATTCAACATAATCAACCATTTTTTATAGTCTTTCGTCTTTCTCTAGATCTTTCTATTTCTTTTACTTTATTTCTCTTACAAATCTTTTCCCTCTTTTTCCTTATTATTCTTTACTGTCTTCATTTTTATCTTCCTTTATTCTCCTTTCATCCTTCTTCTATTTTTCCTTTTTAACATAGATATTCATCCTTATTTTCATTTTCTTTTTTCTCTCCTTCCTTTTGTCTTCTTATTTCTTCTTCTTTGTTCATTTTTCAATTACTTATCTTCTTTCTTTCTTGTTTCATTTATGACCCTAAACTTGTTTTTTGTTCCTTCCCTTTATTATTCTTTTTCCATTTTTTCATTTCTTGTATTTCTCTTTTCTTTATTTCTTTCACCCATTCAACACTTTTTCTTTTATTCTGTTTTTCTCTACTCTTACTTCTTTGACAACATTTATTTCTTGTATGCATCTTCCACTTGGTCCAATATTTGTCTTAGTCTTATTTTCATCTCTCTTTCTCTCTCAGTCAATCTCTCTTCAATTTTCACTGATTTATTTATCACTTCACGAGACAAACTTCTGTCTGAAATGTTTATATTAATACATAACATTTTCTTAAAAATATACACAAATGTCTTTATAGGTTGAGATGCAAAGATTTACAAGCATTAATATTTTATGATCTTCAAAGTTACCAAAACACAGATATCTTAACTCAAACCCACATTTAAGCCCCACAACTATAGAACTCAAAAGAGACCCAGAATTAATAAATGACTGGATGTTAAATCTTTTTTGCCACCATGGATTTACTAAAAAAAAAAAGAAAAAAATGATATTCAATCATTAGTTAAAACCAAAAAAATCAAACAAGACTAAATGATCAAGATGAAACAGAAAAGGAAATACCAACAAAGGTTTAAAAAGTAAATCAAACAAGAATCAAGGATTAAGGACCTTTTTTTTTTTCAATCTGAAAAACAAATTAGTAGAAAAGAAAAAGAACTTTACATGACCAAATCCCATTGAAAGTACAAAACTAATATTATTAAAATTCCGAGTCATATGTGGTTGTAAAGCTCTGGCTTGAAACCAGAAACAGAAGGATTTACTGTAGCAGCTCAAGATCAAAGCCTGCTAACAAGATCTTACAAGGCACATATTTTAAGGAATAGAGTAAATCATTGCTATACATATGCTGAGGAAACTATTGATCATCTAATATCTGGTTGTTCTATGCTAGCAAATGAATTTAAAATAGGCATGAAATGATAAGGCAATGTATTGGTTCCCATCAGTATTGGAATGACTGCAAAATACTTTCACCTCACCAAGAAGTACACAAATGTATGCTGAGATATTTTCCTAGCCAATAAAATAGTCCAGTTCTCAGTTTCATCTGACTCAGACTTGGTCTGTCTTATCTTGAAGTCAAAATGCTATGTTCACTTGTCTAACCTTGCTCTTGTGTTTCAACCCCAATTCTCAGTTTGTGAACTTTTTGCCTTATTACTGTTAATATGCCTTGCATGTTTTGTTTGCTTGCTTTATATTATTTTTTACCCTGTTCTTTTCTTTTCCTTGCTTATTGCAAACTTTTATCATTTCTGTTTGCGGGACAGTTCTGTCATTTATTTTATATTTAACAATGGCCACTCACTCTACACAATGCCTTCATTGGAAGATATGCTAACATTTTAACCTAGCCAATCAAAAATAGTAGGAGCAAAAAACACTACTAATTCTACTAATTTACTGTAGAACTTCACCATATACATTGACCCTACTATACAAGCTAATCAATTTCTAGAAACTTAAATGCAATCTTACTGGCATGATCAGACCATTGAATATAAACATTTTAATGAAAAAAACTCTCCAGATATAAAAATCTGGAAATACAAATTGTAAGAATGTGTCATTATATAACAACTGTTATTCCAGTAGTTGTATGAGCACTTAGAATGATTAGAAAGAATATTGGTACACACATTAAGAAAATTCATCTTTATCCGAAATACAAAAGCTTGTATTCATGTGTACTAGTTACATACTTAGAAAAATTATTTCAAGAATTTCCTAAGAAAATCTTTCATTTATTGTAATCAGTTTACTCATGTTTTTGTTGCTATCTGAGTGTTGGGATTCCAAACATTCTAAACACATCTTTTTAAATGAAACAATAAAAGGTTTTTTTCTGAAAGAAAAGTAGAAGCAGAATCTCAGTTGAAATAATAGATTCTTTTCAGAAATATACAATAACAGTAAAATGTTCAATTTTCCTTGCAGTGAAGTGTTTTTTTTATAAAATAATTAAGTGTTCTTTATCCACACATTTCACACTGCACTGATTTACTTTATGATGGTCAGCCTAATCTGTTTGTGAGTTTGTAGACAAAGGGTTAGTTAGCAGCTGCTGGTTATTCCCTTCTATTGTGTGTGTGGACAAGGCCCTAGTCAGTGGCTACTTGCTGTCATCTCTTCCACTGTGTGCGGGTGTCAGGGTATATATGCACATGTAGATCAAACTTGCCTCAGAAATTGTTTTGAGCCATGAGAAGCAGTATGCTTTTATTTTTATATCTGTAATGGAAATCAAAAATCTAATTTCACATAGTGGTGTGAACTTTCTGAATACAAGATTTTCATTAGTTAGAAAATAATTTGACACTGGCTCATGAAAATCTTTTTCTCAGATTTGTGGGAGTGGTGAAGGGAGTTATTGTTATTTTCTAAATGGTCCAAAAATAACACATGATAGGTCTACAACTATATCTGCACATGTTTTGGCAGTATTTTTTTGTCAAACAAACCTTCTGATGTGATTTTATTGGCTGAAAAATATATATAGGATTTAACTCTTATACTTTTTTTTACCTTAGCTCTCTCATGAAAGACTTGGTAAATATTTCTCAAAAACAGTAAATCAAAAAGAAACAATAATAATAGTATTATTATTATTAGAGTCTGACATTGAGAAGATCAGGATAAAGCCTAATATCCCATCACTTCAGAAATCTGACTTCCTTTTCATTGCAAATATTCTACAAGAGGTGCTATTTGTCTGAGGTCTTATAACTTGATAGAGAATATCCAAGATTTCCAACTGGAAATGAAACAAAACTTGCAGAAGAAGAAATTATAATAATAGTGGAGGTGTTTCATATGGGAAGCCATTTAGGAATGACAAGAATAATCTAGAAAATGATGAATACTTAAAGTTGGTGGGAAAATTGCATGAAATCCATGCATTAATTAACAGATATTAAGAGCTTATCCATATTTTCCTTACTTGAAGTTGACTTCAGCACTTTTTATTTGTGTAACGGTTTTTTGTCTATATATTTTTAAGATGAGGTATTGTAACTATTTACATTGTTTGGACTGTTGTCCTTATCTTTGTTGACACATTCACAACATTTCGGCCATTTTATGCTCCTGTCTTCTTCAGGATCTATCTATATTTCTGAGATGAGGTATTGTAACTATTTACATTATTTACATTGTTCAGACTGTAGTTCTCATCTTTATTGCCACATTCACAAAAGTCTCATGCCTTCATCAGGTGATATTAGTTGGAATTTCAAAGCAGACACTTTAATTTATTGAGATGTTGTGAATCTGCCAATAAAGATGAGGACAATAGTTCTCAACAATGTAAATAGGGTAAATAACTGTTTTTTTGCAAATAATTAATTAGTCAGTTTGGCTTTAAATTGAATTATATATATATATGAGAAAAGAGCAAGACCCTTTTATGTCAATGCATTTTAAATTGTATTTATAAAGATAATGTATAAGCAGAAAATATATTAAATAATTGCCAGACTTAATCTATTTCATTATATATTGTCATTGTTTATGTTAAGATACATTTTGTGAGCAGATATTACTGAGTGAGACAATCATCAAAGATTGTGTGTTTGAAAACAGTAATTTGGACTTTGCTAACCAGATGCTTCTCTGTAGCTAAATAGTATAGCACGTCAGATCAAATGATGGTTTTCGTCTAGGAATACAGATTTGATTTCTGTCAGAGAACACATATTTTCTACAAAATTTCTCAAACATTCAGGCCAGTAAATAAAATTAATACTGTTTAATTAAAAAACACTGTATTTACTGAAATAAATTGTATCTATAAAAATAAAATAGAAAATATATACATATGCAGTGGAACCTCAATTTAATGGACTAATAGGGGAGGGAGGGATCATCCGATTTTCTGTTAATTTGAAGCATTTTTTTGTTGCCTAAAAATACACAGTACAATACAAAATTATCATAAATAAAGTATATATGTATGTGTATTTTATCTTTAAGTTACTATATACCTTTAAATAAAGTTTGAAAAATTTTAAAGTTAAAACTGGAGTTCGTTGTTTCTGGAGGGTTAATTTGCGGTTCTACTATATATATATATATATATATAACACAAGATTCATTGAAGAAAACTGACAACGCACTATAATTAGGCTTTATATTAAAAATTTTCTTTCATGCATAAAAGTATTTTCTTTTCTGAGCATAGTGTATATAACTGCCCAAATGTTCTATAGATCTGAGTATTAGCCCTTATCAAGGATGTATTTTTTCATTTTAACTATATATATAGGATATATATATATATATATATATAATGTATGTATGTATGTACCTATAGGGACTGGAATGTTTTGTTTTTTTTATTTTCGAACATGGTCAGCATGTTGTGGCTGTTTTCATAGTTGATATTTTTTAAAATAGGCTTCCATTATTTTTAAACGTATTTGTGGATGAGGCCATCGTAGTCATTTGTTTCACAAGTATGTGCAGACAGAGGTTGGTCGTTCTCCATGGATATTTAAATGAGTCCTAATGGAGCTATGATCATGCAAGAAAAGAATTAATAAAATGCTTCATCACAGTGCCTGGTCAGTTGTCTTCAATGAAACTTATATGAAAGAGGGAATGCTGCCTAAATACACACACTATATATATCTATATATATATATAATTATTTATTTAAAAATATGATTCCATCGCTACATAAGAGTTCTCATGTTTCAAAACAAGAGCTGAAAACTTCAATATAATTATTTAAATTAAATTGAATTAAAGTACTAAGCTCTGTTCCATCTTCAAGCGAAATCTTTTTGGAATAACTAATTCTTGAAATTTACGCGTTTTTATAAGCATATTCATTATTAAAATTAAAATTACTATGGTAACGGCTAGAGCAATTATTTAAAAAAAGGAGTGTAAGGGTTAATGATTTGTATCAATATTTCAGTTACATTCAAAGAGGTCAAGTCAGACTAAGGTGCACATTTGTGTATATATATATATATATATATATATATATAGGCACTCACACACACAAACATGCACACATACACACACATATAGAAGCGTTTTGTTTAGATATGAATATACATGCATATGCAGATTTTGCTAAATATCCTTTTGTCTCATAATCAAAATCAGAGAGAGTAAGTTTGATTCTTATTCTAATAATCTAAATGAAGCTAATTCTTAAGAGACATGAACAAATTTCAAGAGAGATTGGTCCTAAACATTTTTTCCCAACTCTCCTAGCAGTCATCAGAACTCCTTCTTTATCTAAATTATATTAATGTTGATTCCTAAAGAGATAAGGTCAAACAACT